GGCCACCCCTCCTCCACCAGCAGGGCTCAGTCCCGCCAGCTCTTGCTTCCTGTCCCCGAAACCCACAGAACAGGGTACTTCCTCTCCACTCTGGGGGAGGGTGGGTGAGTGGCCTGGGGAGAGCAGGGCTCAGGGAGCAGGAGTGACAAGTCAAGGAACCAGGTGGCACCAATACGGACTACGAAAGTCCCTGGCCAGGTGAGGGGTTGGTGGGGTGAGGCCAGGTCTTCACTGGGGCCTCCTAGCTGCCCACCTCTTTCGCTCTTGGCAACGTGGCTCACATGGACAAAACCAGGCTCCCCACCTCCCCCAGGGGCCTGCTGCCAGGGCAAAGAGGCCAGAGCTCATCTGTCAAGCTGTGCACACCCACTCCCCAGATTCCCGATGCTGCCTGCCAGCGCGGGTGACAGGCCTCCCATCCAAAAGCCCTCGGCTGGGCAAGGGAGTGCCCCTGCAGGCAGACCCTTGTGGGATTTCCTGAGCCTCTAGCTCTGGAGCCAGGAGCCAAACCGGGCAGGAAGCCGCGGTGCCAAGCTGGGCACCACCCTGCCCAGCACCCATCCTGAGGCTGCCCGCGGGGGACGCAAGTGCTACGGGACTCTATCAAGAGCACCAGCAGTCTGCCGTCTCCATCCCTGGCCGGCTTCCCCTTGGGCCCAGGCCCGGCCTCTGTCCCCAGCACCGCCCCCACCCCAGTCCCCGAGGCCGGCACTGGCGGCTCACGGCAGCCCTGAGATTCCCAGACCTTTGAGCCGGTCAGTGGACTCCGCGCTGCGGGCGCCGCGGGGAGGTGCCCAGCCCGATGGCCCGGCTCTCCCAGTTCTGGAGCCTCCTTTGCTCCGAGGGCAAAGTACCGTGCGGGTCGAAGGCTGGAGACGGAGCTCGCAGGCCGGGGAGAGCGCAGCCCGCCGGGGCGCCCCCGCCGAGGCGAGGCTGCAGGGAGCCGGGCCGCGGACGAGGCCGGGTTCCCGCGCCGAGAGTGGCGCGGGGACGGGCCCGGCGCCGGGAAGGGCGGGCTGCGCGGAGGGGCGCAGGTGGGCGCGCTCACCTGGCTGCCGTTCACCTGTCGGGCTGGGCGCCCAGGCCGGGGAGGGAGGGAGGGCGAGGAGACGATGTCGCTCCTGCTGCCGTCTGCCCGACTCTGGGGAGAGCCCGCCCGGGGCTCCGGGACCTGCCTCCGCCCATGTGATCCCGGGGCCGCCCCTGCCGCCGCCCCTGGCCAGGGAAGCCGCCGCCTCCACACGACGAGCCCGGGCGCTGCCACCTGGCCCGAACCCGTCGGGGGGATGGGGCGGGCTGTCCCCAGGGCTCTTTCGAGGCTGCGGCCGGCCTCTCGGTGGCGCCCGCATCCTCCCCGGAGCGCCCGCACTCCCCCGACCGCCCGGAGCAGAGAGGAGCCGGTCCAGGGACGGCCCCTCGCCCCACTTTGCAGACGGCCCAGAGGGCAGCCGCGCTCCTGAGCCCCGCATCCCCAGGTCTCGGGCAGGGTGGGCTGGCTGGGTACGTCTGCAGTCCGCCTGGCTCCTCCACCCACTCCAGGCTCGGAGGCTGGCGCAGATGCGGCCTTGACACCCACAAATCCCAAACCAAGGCCGCCCTCCTCCCCGCCCCCCGCAACTCCCTTCCTGAACGCTGGCTTCTCGGCAGCACAGAACTTTTCTGCCTGGAATGCCAGCAAAGTGGGGCCCGCCGGCGTTCTAGGAGACGGGGAGAGGGAGAGCCCCCTGGCGGGGGGTCCACTGGGCACCCCCACCCCCGGGCTGCTACCTTCCCGTTCCTGCCCCGTTCCTGCGGGCCCTCACCTAACCCTCTCTGCAGGCCTGACCCCCCTCCGCCCCCTCCCGTTTTCCTGTCCTCCCCACCTTCCCCTGTCCTCTGTCAAGCACCTGCAGCCCAGGCTGTAAGGATGAGAGGACTGCCAAGGAGGGGACCCAAGTGACAGCTCATGGAGGAGGAGCCGTACCTGGCAACCCTCTCCTCGAGGACCTCAGGCCCACGGAGCTGCCTCTCATCGTGTCTCCACTTGGCCTCTGGCTGTGAGGTTTGCTGTGTTTTCAGGGACGCTTGAGGGCGCAGCTGTGCCTCACCTGCCTCAGGTGTGAGTCATCCCTCCACTCTCGCCCTGTGAAGAGTGCCCTCCCCACGCCCTCACCTGCCTGTGTCCACATCTCAGCCTCCGCGAGTTCACACTCCAGCCCCGCTCCACCCACAGCCTCTGTCCTAGGTGTGCACATTGCTCTCCCGCTGGCTGGTTCGGGGCTCCTGGCATGGCCATCTGGCCTGATGCACCTGTTCTACCTCCCCGACTGGACTGGAAGCCCCTTGAGGGAAGAGGCAGCTACAGGCAGAGTGAGCACACGGACCTAGCCCCAAGCACACAGCTGTGTCTCACCAGCTGTGTGACCTTCAGCAACTTCCTCGGCTCCTCTGGGCCTCAGTTTCCCCGTGTGGAAAATGGGGATAATGTACCGCTTAAAGTCCTGTTCTAAAAATTGCTCGGCCGGCCGGGGGCGGTGGCTCAAGCCTGTAATCCCGGCACTTTGGGAGGCCGAGACGGGTGGATCACGAGGTCGACAGATCGAGACTATCCTTGTCAACATGGTGAAACCCCGTCTCTACTAGAAATACAAAAAAAATTAGCTGGGCATGGTGGCACGTGCCTGTAATCCCAGCTACTCAGGAGGCTGAGGCAGGAGAATTGCCTGAACCCAGGAGGCGGAGGTTGCGGTGAGCCGAGATCATGCCATTGCACTCCAGCCTGGGTAACAAGAGCAAAAACTACGTCTCAAAAAAAAAAAAAAAAAATTGCTCGGCCACAGGCAAAAGCCAAGGCTGGCACAGAGGTGTCAAACAGAGTCTCTGACTCTAATGGGGAGGGGACTCCTAGGAAGGGATGTGAAGGAAGGGACGTTCATCCATTCAGCTTTTCCATGCATTCATTCCAACAACATTCAGTCAGTGAATACTGAGTGCCAGGCACCGTGCTCGCCTCTGGGACTGGAGAGTGAACCAAAGAAAAGCCATAATTTCCTCAGAGAAGCCCTCCTGCAGGCCTTGGAGACTCTACAAATAACCCCAGGTTCATCTGGCAGGGCTTTCTGATGGGTGGGTTGTGAATTCACAAAACGCACCATAAAGACCAGTCAGCAGACCCAGGCAGGGCACGACTCTGTGGCACAGAAGGGGCATGTCCTGCTGGTAGCCTCTCTGCGGCCCTGAGGAGGCCACGTTGCCGCCCGCCCCTCTCTAAAGGGTGAGCCATCCCCAGCAGCCTCTGATCTTCCCTTCCCCTCCCCACTGAGGCCAGGTCAAGGCACAGAAGTGATCATCTCTCAGGCAGCCCAGGGTCGGAGGGTTTGTTAGCTGTGGGAGGTGCCAGCGCTCCATCAAAGAGAGGGTGTGGACTTGATCTCTATCCCAAGGAGAGGAGGCCTCTACCCTGATATGTTTTATGAGGACATCAGGGAGTTCACAAAAAAACAGCTGCGATGGGGGAATGGCAACCAGGCCAGCAGGTTTTGAGGAATGGTTGTTTCCAGGCCAGGACGGGCTGGACCTGCCCATGAAGAACCAGACCAGGATGAGGACGGAGGAAGACGGGGTACTTGTTCTTCCAGCTGCTGTTTAACCCCTGCTGGGCCCAGGCCGCACCCAGGTTCAAGAAACCTGCCAGGGCTAGGCCACTGCCCTGTCAACAACGAGCCCCCTCCCTCTGTCCCGACAGAACTGGGCACCACCACCTTTCACTCCAGCCACCACCTCTTCCCCCCTGCCTCAGGTGACAGGCCTAGAAGACAGGATTGCCAGGAAGAGCATAAAAGCAGCCCAACCCTGGGCCACCCTAGGGAAGTCCCTGACCTCACACATGCCCTTCCTTCTAAGGGCCCATGGTCAAGGGCTGCCTGGGCATTTGGTAGATTTCAGGAAGTGAGGTGGACCTGAATTCAGCATTTAATAATGACGTGACCTAGACAACTTCATTCCCCAGAGCCTGGCTCTCTCCGTCTGGAAATGGAAACATAACCTGCCACGTGAGGCTCAGGCAAGGAAACACACGGGAACCCCCGGTGCTCTGCTCACCCCTCCGAAGCAGCAGAGACACAGGGCTTCCTTTCTTGGCAGAGTGGCCACACCTGGACTGTGTCACCACTGCCACCCCACAGGGACCTGAAAGCCTCAGGACTAGAAAACCTTGTTCAAGGCTGGGCACAGTGGCTCATGCCTGTAATCTCAGCCCTTTGGGAGGCTGAGGTAGGTGAATCAACCTGTCAGGAGTTTGAGACCAGCCTGGCCAACATGGTGAAATCCTGTCTCTACTACAAATATAAAAATTAGCCAGGCGTGGTGGCACAACTCTGTAATCCCAGCTACTCAGGAGGCTGAGGTGGGAGAATTGCTTGAACCCGGGAGGCAGAGGCTGCAGTGAGTCAAGATCACGCCACTGCACTCCATCCAACCTGGGCAAGAGAGCGAGACTCCGTCTCAATAAATAAATAAGTAAATAAATAAGCCTTGTTCAAGAGTAGTTTTGGCTGGCTGTGCCCCACCACTCCCAGCTTCCCACAATGGATTGCTCAAGCGCCTGAGCCCAAAGAGGAAAATAAACAAACGTGCAGGGCTTCGGTGTAAAAATGGGAGCACAGAGATGGAAAGCAGCAGAATACTTAGAAATCTCTTCTAGCCCAGCAACCCCACGGTGGCAGCTCCGGAGTCAAAACAGTCTGCAAACAAGGCACATTCAGTCCGCCATCTCCAGTGTCTCCCTGCCACCAGGGCCCAGCACTTTTTATCAAACAACTGCCCAATCCTGGTGGCTGCCCAGCCTGCCTGACACCCGAGGGCCGAGATCTTTGGAGGTCACAATGGTGTTTTTCCACCCTGCTCTTACATACACACCTGCCCCACGTGTCTCCCAGCCCAGCCACCCGCAGAAGGAATTCCCATCTTCCTAGACAACAGGAGGCACCTCCCACCCCAAGGAAAAGCCCTCAGACACAAGGTCCCTGGTATGCAGGTTTATTTGACATTCTCTTCCAGAGGGGACTTGGCACTGGGGGAGAGCTGGTAGGCAGTGGGCAGCACACAGCAGTCTCCCTGAGGAACATCTGAGCCAGGCCAGTGGTGCCTGGCCCCACAGTGCAGGGAGATATGCCAGGCCCAGGCCCAGGACTTGGCAGCCCGTGGGAAGAGGTGGCCTTGGGGCCAGAGCTCTTGCCAGGCCTGGATTGCTAAGAAGGTGCTGGGACAGTGTCTCGCCTTGCTCCACTCCTGGCGGCAGCTGGAGGCCAGAAGGCAGAGGGCAGCCGGCAAGCTGGGGTGTGTGGGAGGAACCCCAGAAGGTGGGGGTGGCCTTTGGTCTCTAGGAGGCTAGGAAGCTGGTCCTGGTTAGAGGAACCCCGTGGGGGCGAAGCGGGGAGCTGGTCCCTGTTAAAGGAAACGCTGGAGCAGGATGGGGGTTGGGGGCTTGGGGTCTGGTCTCAATAAGGCCTGGAAATGGTCTCCACTTCAAAGCAGACCTCTGTATTTGGGGAGTAGGGTGGGGAGGAAATGAAAGGGCTGTAGGAGGAATGCCTGTGAGTCGTGGGTGGGAATCAGTCCAGGGGGCTTCGAGGGGGGTCCGCGGGAAAAGCTGCAGGGATCATCTGCAGATGCCAGGAGCTCAGGTCCTGGGGAAGGAGGATGTGGGGGGTTCTCTCCCTCCCACGAGTGCTACGGCTCCCCACCCCGTCCTGGTTGGCTCCAAGTTGCCATGGAGACCACTCACACGGGGGCAACGTAATTTCCAGGGAACGTTCCAAATTTCTGGGTCCTCCGGGAGACACCTGAAAGAGGAAAGGCAGGAAGAGCTTTTCCCACTCCCTTCTTTAACTGGGATGCAGGGGTGAAGGCCTGCCCCCTGCCGGCAGTGCCTAGAACTGCAGGGGGAGCTCCTCTCCCAGGGAGGAGATTGGATTTGCTCTCCTCCTTCCTGCCCCCTAGCGGCAAAAGCTCAGATGAGCAAAGCTACACTTCCCATACTCGACAACCAAAGAATCCGAGCAATAAACAGATGCGCACCACTCCGCACACAGCACCGAGTCACTCCACCCTTCCTCCGCAAAGTGAGGACGCAGGAGGAGGAATCACATAGGGCACCCTCACTTAGAGATGGGTGGGAAGGCCTAAGAGAAGGCTGAGTGAATTGCCCAAGAGCACCCGATGTTTAGGAGTAGGCTTGGGACTCCGATCCAGGCCTCTGGTCAGCTACAGCCCCACAGAAACTTGTGTCCTGGAGAGGAGGAGGGGGAACCCTAGCAGGCAGCGCATCTCGGGGAGCCTGGCACCCGGTGCTTCCGCAAAGCCAGCACTTCTGCTGGCTGCCTTCCTTCATGCCCTGAAGAGGGCAAGGCCCTCGAGGGAATTGGCACTAGCCCAGGGTCACTGGTGGAGTCACTTGGGACCCAGGCCAGGGTTCCTGACCTTCAGAGCCCCGCCCCGTTCCCCTGCACACCCCTGCCTCTGGAGCAGCCCCGACGGAGAGCTCCTGGTGGAAAGGACCAGGGCTGACACCTGTGTATCCCCCACCCCCAGCTGGCTCCTCCAGCCTGGGAGGACGAGGGAGTGGAGAAATATAGGAATACAGAAACATCATAAATATTCTATTTCTATATATAGAAAAATAGGAATATACACTGAAATGAACGTCACTCCTGACCTTGGGTAAATGGATGATCCTTGGCCTCCCCTTCCAGGCTGGCACCCTCACTTCCTGGGGGGGCAGCCTATGCTCGTCCCACGCACACCCTCTTCCTCTGCCCCGAGTACCTCCCTTTCCTCTCAGCCTCCCCAAATCCTTCGCCTGCCCTTCCAGGCCCAGCTCCCTCCTTTCCTTCAGGAATCCTTCCCTGACCTGCACTACCTAAAATGGTCACCACTCGCCACATGTGGCTGCTGGGTACTTGAGATATGCCCGTGAATTTTTAAAACTGAATGTTTATCTCATTTGAACTCCATGTAAACAGCTGCATAAGGCCAGGGGCGGCCGTACCGGAGGGCGCACAGGTGTTACCCGCTCCTCTCCAAGCACTTACCGCTCATAACACAAAGTGGTGCTTTTTTTTCCTGTCTGCATAGGGTTGCAAAACTTTATTAGAATTTGTAAAAAAAAAAAATTCCAGAGCAAAAGTGTATCAAGTAAATCTGAATGCACCAAGCACCGCCTCCCTCCCCGCCCCACCAGCAGAAGGTAGGGGCTGTTCACAGGCTAGCGCTTAATGGTCCTGGGTGGGTCAGGAGACTGGCCGGCAGCTGTACTGGGATCAGATCAGGAAGGGTGGGCTGCCAGGTCAAGCAGCTGCCCAAGCAGTTCCCCAGACTCTCAGGCCTCAAAGCCTGCTTTGGCCCCGGGGCGGAGAGCTTCTGGCCATTCACTTCTCTCTGGGGACAGCCTAACCTTTGAAGATGAGGCCTGCGCAGGGCCCACCCACTCTGGGGAAAGAGGCCCTGGGAAGCCTGGTGTGTTGGTCACCTTGCTCCGGGCCAAGGCTGACCTGAGGCTTGCTGCTTTAGCCTTGGTCAGAGCTGCCCTTGGATCGGTCCTGAGGGGCTGGGAATTCTCCACTCCCTCGTCCTCCCAGGCTGGAGGAGCCAGCTGGGGGTGGGGGATACACAGGTGTCAGCCCTGGTCCTTTCCACCAGGAGCTTTCCCAGAGGGCTGCTCCAGAGGCGGGGGTGTGCAGGGGGAAGGGGCGGGGCCCTGGAGGTCAGCGGCCCTGGCCTGGGTCCCCAGTGACTCCATCAGTGACCCTGGGCTGGTGCCAGTTTCCTCCTGGGCCTCGCCCTCTTCAGGGTATGAAGGAAGGCAGTCAGCAGAAGTGCTAACTTTGGGGAAGCATCAGGTGCCAGGCCCCCCAGTAACCCTGTCAGAAGCCGGGCGGAGGGTGGTTGGCCACAAATCTGTGCTGAAGCAGCACGGGGAGGCAGCAGCAGCCCACCCACATCCCCTGCAGCCCTGAGTGTGCCCAGGGTGCCCACACACCCACAAACCAGCCGTCGTCACACTGCTGCATGACGTCCACCCTGTCCCCCTCGCGCAGCTCCAGCTCGTCTTCGTTCTGGGGCCTGTACTGGTACATCGCCCGGTACCTGCGAGAAGCGTCATGGCAACCAGAGAATGGGCCCAGCGGCTCTGACCCCAAGTGTTGCCACTTTCCGTGAATACCCCAGGGTCCCTTCATACTTTCACTAGCCCCTGACCCAGCTCCTCAGAGCGGCTCTGCCTGGGCTGGGTGCGATCTTCCCCAGGCCGGCCTCCTGTCTTCTGGGCCCTGAGCCACCAAACCCTCACCTCCTCTGAGCAGCCGGTGCCTTCCCGTCCATTCTACCAGTTCCACACTTCACTTAGACACCCATTGACCTCAGAGCTAGAAACCTAATCAGGAGACTGTGGCCATAAGGCCAGACAGCTGCCAGGAGGGGTTGGCAAGAGCACGGACCAGCGCCTCCTCCCTGCCCCAAATCACCATAAACTCTTTGAGGACAAGGGCTACCTGGTAGAAGTTTCCCACATCTACAGGTGGGGACTGGGGGAGGAAGGACTATGTGCCATTGCCTGCGTGACCCCCCACGCCTGACCAAGCGCCCTCGATGGTACTCACGGAGTCCAGTGTATCTGAGAAGTGTTAGGGGAGGAGGTTCCCAGGTCCAGGGGATGGCTGGGACCTCGAGGCTGGGACAGAGCTGACCCAGGGGTGCCAAGATTCTGGGGCTTGACAGGAGGAAAGGGACGTCAGAGGGAGGAAGGCGATGGGTACATCTAAGTCTGAGGGAGGAGGCCCCAAATGTGCCTTCCCACTCCACCTGCCAGCACGCCTTACAGCCTCATTTTGGCCCCCAAACCCCCAGGGCACAGGGACACCTGCTGTGACTGTTTCATTTCATAGGGGCCAGAAAGCTGAGGCCCAAGTAGGGTGAGTGGCTGGGTTTCTGGACTCCAGCACAGATGGACCAGGAACCCCCAGGGGCAGGAGCCTGGGCCGGCTTTGGGATTTGGCCCAGTGCTCCGTGGGCTACAGCTGGGGGGGTTGAGGCCCCCAGGCCAGGGTGGGGCTGCCGCGTCGGCTTCTGCCACCCCACTACTCTGACCCAGTGCTGTCCGGGAAGGATCCCTAAGAGTGGGTGAGCCATGGGGGTGGGGATGGGGGGTGGGGACAGGCAGTGGGGAGCAGGTGGGCTCTCTGGTGGAGGCAGGCTACCTCACCTGGGTCTGTGGTCTGGGATCCTGGGTGGGGAAGGAGAAGCCAGTGCGGCGGGGGGAGGTCAACCCCCCCCAGTCGGTGGGGTCAGCTAGGTTGCGCAGTGCTGAGGGGGAGCTGGGTTGACGGGCCGAACGGGCAGCAGCGGTCAGACGGGGAGACGCGGGGAGCTGGTGGCCATCATCACAGAGCCGGAGCCGGGGTTCGCGAGACACCTGCACGTAGCTGGCGGGGAATATGCCCTGGCGCCCCGTGCCCGCGATGCGGCCTTCGTACCAGTTCTCGTTCACCTTGCGGACCAGGCAGATGTGCTCTCCCTGGGGGAGGGGTCAGCATCTGTGGCGCCTTCCTGGTGCCATGCACCCGTGGGTGCCTTATCTGGGCTGTCTCATTCCAGCCTAACATCTTAGACACACGAGGGATCAGGGTCGCAGGGGGCCAGCAGGTTACTCGAGTTACACAGTAAGAGCAGGAGCCAGGAGCCAAGCCCAGGCTGCCCAGGTGAGGCTGAGGCTGAGATCGGGTGTGCATCCCCTCTCAGGGCTCACAGCAAAGTCCCTCTCCAGAGCTCCGACCACAGGTGAGCCCGTGGCTAATAATGCAGATGCAAATCCAGCTCCACCAGGCCAAGCTGTGTGGCCTCAGGCAGGCTGATCTGCCTCTCTGAGCCTTGCTTTCTCCTATGTTAAGTGAAAATAACCATATTGTCAGTATGAGGTGTGAACGAGATCAACAGTCCACTCCTTAAACGTGCTGGACAGGAGCTACCACGACTGCATTTCTGCCTCACACTGCAGGACCCTGTCATGAGTGTATCCAAAATACTCCCCAGGACAGGCAGGGAGTCCTCAAGCCCACAGTCTGGCTGACATTAGGCAGAACCACCTCCTGGGAGGGTGGCCTCCAGCCCTTACCTTCCCCTTCCCTCTCCTGCCCCCACCTCTCCCCAACCAGCCACCTTTGTCCCCCGTTGTCCCTGGGGCCAGCTCTTCTGGGCGGCATTCATTATGGTCTGGCTTGGTTGATTTCAGGGGCATGGTCGCTGCTCCCAAAATCAGCCAAAGACGAACCACTTCCCTGCTTTCTAGAACAGCATTTTTCAAACTTGTTTCACCCCAATCTATAGTTAAAAATGTTTTCATAACAGCCCAGAATACATATATATGTGCGCACACAGAACTGCCAACAGTATGATAAAGTGCTTTCTGCCCGCAATGCTTGCTCACATTTCTATCTATGCCTTTAAAAATGCTGAGTATGATTCCCGCAACCTGCAGTTGAAAAAAATATACAACTCTGGAAGTTTATGATGATCTTTTAAAAATGGGCCAAAATTACTTGAGAGGCTGGGGAAGGGGCAGGAGGATCACTTGAGCCCAGGAGTTCAAGGCCAGCTTGGGCAACATAGTGAGACGCTGTCTCAAAAAAAAAAAAAAAAAAAAAAAAAAGATTACACTAAAGGAAGCATAATGAAAGAGACTGGGGAAAACTCTGAAATCCTGGGTAAAGAGCGGTACATCAGATTCTTTTTAAAAAAAAAAGTCATAGGTGGTTCATGCCTGTAATCCCAGCACTTCGGGAGTTTGAGGCAGGTGGATCACAAGGTTAGGAGTTTGACACCAGCCTAACCAACGTGGTGAAACCCCATCTCTACTAAAAATACAAAGATTAGCCAGGCATGGTGGCACGTGCCTGTAATCTCAGCTACTTCGGGAGGCTGAGGCAGGAGAATCCCTTAAACCCGGGAGGCAGAGGTTGCAGTGAGCCAAGATCGTGCCATTGCACTCCAGCCTGGGTGACAGAGCGAGACTCGGTCTCAAAAACAAAAAAGGTGTTTTTAGTGCACATATTTACCTATGTCTTTGCCTGCCCTCACCCACCCCACCGTCTCCTGCCTGGCCCACCTTGCGGAAGGACAGCTCCACCTCCAGGTCCCCCTTGAAGGTATACTGGGCCACGGCCTCTCCATACTCCAGCACCTGGTAGGTTGGGGGCTTGATGGGCTTGGGGATCTCATCTGCGGGCAGCACCTACATCAAGAAAGGTCGTGAGAAAGATTTGGGCTGGGGAGCAACAGAACCCAGACAGGAGCTTCCCGTGAAACAGCAAAGAGAAGGTGGACCTGCTCCCAGGCAGAGGAAAGATATCAACACTAGACACAAGTCTGGGGGCAGCCAAGGCTGGACACAGCCAAGGATAGCTAGAGGATGCACAGGACTCCGGGAAGGCTCCCTGGAGGAAGAATTTTCTATAGGGGTGTGTGGAGTGGGCATTACAGGAATGAGAAACACCAAGAGAAAAGATGTAAGCCAGTCCCATCGCAGAGGTTAAGTTGCCCACAGAAGACAATGAGGCCTACGAAGCAGCTGGCAGCACCTGAGGAGCGTTCCCAAAGCGAGGGTCCACCCTTTTCTCACTGCTGAGAACTAGGTGTCCCTGGGTTCCAGGGTCTTGGTTCCTCCTCCCCATCTACCCCAGCAGGCACCCAGAATCCGCATGTTCTCTTTGCTTTATTCTGCCCATAAAAATCAAGCAGCAGGCTAGGTGTGGTGGCTCACACCTGTAATCCCAGCACTTTGGGAGTTCGAGGCAGGTGGATCACAAGGTCAGGAGTTCAAGACCAGCCTGACCAACATGATGAAACCCGGTCTCTACTAAAAATACAAAAATCAGCCAGGTGTGATGGCACCTGCCTGTAGTCCCAGCTACTCAGGAGGCTAAGGCAGGAGAATTGCCTGAACCCAGGAGGTGGAGGTTGCTGTGAGCCGAGATCACACCACTGCACCCCAGCCTGGGACACAGAGCAAGACTACAACTCTCAAAAAAAAAAAAAAAAAAAAAAAAAAAGAAGAAGAAGAAGAAGACATCACTACAGATTTTACTGACATTAAAAGGAGAGTAAGAGACTATTAAGAACACCTTTATGCCAGTAATTTGGATGCCCTCACACACCTTAAAAGTCACAAATAGCAAAAATAACCTATCACTCTTTATCTGTCAAGCCCAGAACCTGTCACTGGAATCAAAAGACCTGGATTCAGATTCTGGATCTTTTTCTTAATAACTTGTCACTGAACCTTGGCAACCCATCTGTAAAACAGAAATAATTCATCACTCTCTGGGCAGTGAGAAGGACCTGAAAGAGGCTGTGTGTGTAGATGTGATTTAGAAACTAGCACAATTCCCACTCTTGCTAGTTGCCATCGGGATCATTCCCAAAGACAGCCTTAGAAAGATGGATCTGAGTGCTGAGTCTAGGGCGTGGATGGGATGGCTGAGGATCGGGCTGCTTGGTCCTGCCCTGGCTGGCTCCACCCTCATTCAGCAAACATTTCCTGGGATCATGCAGAGCACTGGGCCACGCCCTGTGGGGGCCAAGGACAATCCTGAGACATGCCCCAGCCCCTCACAATTTTTTGTCTTAGGAAACTCGAGGTTTGCAGTACGTGTCTCCCCAACCCCTGCACGCTCCCAGCCAGGCCCTGCTTGCTCCTGTGTCTCCTGCTCACCTCCACATAATTAGCAGGGAAGATGCCCAGGCGGCCATGGTGCTCTCCCTCCAGCCAGTTCCTGTCCACCTCTTTGTGGATGTAGACAATGTCACCCTTCTGCAGAGTCAGCTCCCTGCAGGCCGGGGAGGACCCACACGGTAAGCTGAGGCCTCTCAAGCCTCCTTCCCTCTAGACCCTTTCCAGTACACCCCAGTGCTCTCCATTCCCGGGCGATGCCCACTGCAGCCCCCTCCCCTTCCCCATCCCCCTCTGGATGGCAGAGCCTGCCTTGGGTGGAAGGGGACGGGGAGGAGGGCACTTACTTGGGGGACTGCGCCTGGAAGTCATACTTGAGCCTGGCGGCCTTCCTCTAGGCAGGAGAGAGGACAGAGTGGGCCACCTCAGTCGGGCAGGTGGCAGTTCCAGGACCACTCCAGGTCCCCAGCACCCTGATCCCTCCTTACCTTCTTCTCTTCCCTCCTGGCTGGGCTGCCCCCTCCGTCAGAGGCACTAGGTTCTGTGGAGAAGCACAGCCTCAGCCTGGGGAGGCCATGCCTGGGGGATGGGGTAGGGATGGGGTTGCCCCTCACCTAGGGCAGGCACTAGCAGAAGCAAGGGGCTCTGTGACCTGCCACCCCTGGGCCACCAGCATGCCTGGTGGGTGGGCATCTCCATGAGAAAGAGAGCAAGGCTGGGTCCTTACCACGGGTTGAGGAAGGGTAGACAAAGTCCCTCCGACCTAAGAAGGGGCTTCCTCCATCAGCCATTCTGCGGGGGCTCAGGGACCGGGTGGAACCCAGGTAAGGTGCATGCGGGGAGCAGGGGCTCCAGGCTGAGGCCGGGCTGCGTGGGGCACGGAGAGTGAGCCTCCCGCCTGGGGCTCCGCGCCCCACCCTGCTCACTCCTAGACTGCTCTGACCCCCACCGCCGCCATCCCTGCCGCCTCCTCCCGGGTCCCGGGCTCTCCACAGGATGTCCTACTTCCCTAGTCGCTGCTCCGGGAAGGGTGAGGCCCGGCAGGGCCTGGCGGGAGTGCAAGACCCCGCTCGGGACCAGCTGCCCTCGGCGTTTCGGGGACGGCAACCCGCGGAGTGTGGCTCTGCGGTCCACTCCGGCCACTGGGCTCTGCGGGTCCCTCCTCCCCAGGCTGGGCCCCACGATCGCCCCCGCCCGCCCCGCCCGGCCGCGCCACGTTCCCTCCCGCCCGGCCCGGGACAGCCCCCTCCCTCCTCCCGCGTCTCCTTCTCACCCGGCCGGGGGCCGCTGCTCTGGGGCTGGTCGAGGCGCTGGCGAGCTCTGCGCGGGTAGACAGCGCGATCAGGGCCCGCGACCCCGGGGACCCAGCAGCAGCCGAGGCCGCTGCCTCCGGAAAAGTTTGCAGCTCGGGAGGGGAGGAGGGCGGGCGGGACGCGGGGTCCTAGAGGCGCCCGCGCGGAAGATCCCGGAGCGGGGCGGGAACGAGGGGAAGGGGCGGGGGTCCCCGAAACTGAGGTGGGGGCGGGACGGGGTGGGTGGCCGGGCATCGGGCTGACGTGAGTCCACCTGGAAGGGCTCCTCCGGGTCACTTGTGAAAGTCAACGCCCTGTATTCTTTGGAAGAGCCAGCCGCCAGCGCCCAGGAGGGCCCGAGGCCGAACCTCGGCTGCCCGCCCTCTGCCCAGCCCAGCCGCCGAGGCTCCCCGCCCGCCCCGACTCTGCGGTCACCGGCGTGCCCCGGAGTGAACCCTGGGGGCTGGTACCTTGGGGGACGGCAGTCGGGTCTCGATTGCCCGCAGGTCCTTGTCCAGCTCAGCGCTCAGCTTGGCCAGCTCTCTCTCCAGCAGCACCTGCGGGCGGGGAGAGAATGGGCAGTGAGGGGCAACGCACGGTGCGGGGGTGGGGGCGGGGGCCAGCGGTCAAAGATCGGCTGTGAGAAGCAAGGCCGGTGCCCGGGGCTGGAGTAAGAGCAGGCCTCAGCGCGGGGGCCGGGCTCCTGCCAGGAGGTGTGGCCCAGGGTGCCAGGAGGGCATCCCCGCAGCGGCCTCTCACCTGCCCTGTACTCCCCAGGAGTGCCTTCGCTTCCTGATCCCAGGATCCCGAGTCCTAGCAGTTTCTGTCAAGTTATGCCTCTTTCGGGCACCAATGGGGCTCCCCATTTCCTCTCCCATCTTCTCCCACCCCCCAAGGCCTGGCTTCACTGTGCCCATCCAGACTCCCCTGTCACCCCAGGGGCCAGGGCCTCCACCCTTATGCTGCCGCCTCCCAGCCTCTGCTAGGGAACTCGGCCCGGTCAGGCCCTCCGAGCTTCTCAGAGTCCAGCTCCACCTTCAGGAATACTTCCTGACAATCCCAGCGCACACTGACCACTTCCTTCTCTGGGGCTGCTGTGGCCAACACATATTTAACACATGTTTATTGAACACCTACTTTATGCTAGCCACTGCCGGAGTGCTGGTATTACAGAAGTAAACCATATGTAACTGGAGAGAGGGCCCTTGGTTCATGGCCAACACCCATGGTCACCGCGGCCCTGGAAACCCAAATCTCCCTGGTTTATCCCTGACATGGCTGTCCCCAGCACCCTCAGCACTCACCTCAATGGGCTGGGAGGGCTTCTCACCAGGGTCGTCCACCAGTGGTTTCTTGGGCTGGAGGGTAGGAAGCGTGTGTCAGAGCAGGTGAACTCACTTTCCAAAATGTGTCAGCTGAGGGCGTGCGCACACCAGAGAGCCAGCCGCACTCACCCTCTGCCCAGTCTCTAGTTCTTGCAGAAACTGGTTCCAGGACTCTTCCGTCCAGATACTGTCTACTTTTTCTCGGCGTCTGGGCACCTGCGTGGAGGTGAGTGGGTATCAGCTTGTGTAGAGGGCTACTGGAACACTGGTCAGGCTCAAAATGCAGGTTTGCAGGCCCTGGCCCTTCCCCTGGGCCCACAGCGTCCTCCGCGGGATTCAGAAAGGGCAGTGCAGCACTGGGGCTCGGCCATACAGCATACAGCTGGGGCCGACCAGGGAACACGCTGGCCAGCTACCTGATTTGGGGGCTGCAGCACCGTGGAGAATGCTCCAGGTCCGTAGCTGAAGGTGCTTCTAGGTAACTCTTCAGAGTGGTCCCAGCTCCTTCTGAAGAAAGGGAACAACATCTCTTCAGCTTCCTTTTAGGGAAACTGAGGCAGAAGTGATCACACAGCCCTCTCGCCCTGCCCTTGTCCCTGCTGCAGGGTCTACTCTGCTTCTGACAGCTCCTGCCTTTACTCTGGAAGCAAGGTTAAACTGTGGAAGCTTAAATTCCAGCTCCATTGTTTAGTGGTGGCGTGACCTTGAACAAGTCACCAAATCCTTTTTTTTTTTTTTTTTTTTGAGACGGAGTTTCGCTCTTGTTACCCAGGCTGGAGTGCAATGGCGCGATCTCCGCTCACCGCAACCTCTGCCTCCTGGGTTCAGGCAATTCTCCTGCCTCAGCCTCCTGAGTAGCTGGGATTACAGGCACCTGCCACCATGCCCAGCTAATTTTTTGTATTTTTAGTAGAGATGGAGTTTCACCATGTTGACCAGGATGGTCTCGATCTCTTGACCTCGTGATCCACCAGCCTCGGCCTCCCAAAGTGCTGGGATTACAGGCGCGAGCCACCGCGCCCAGCCTAAATTCTTAGAGCCTCAGGCTCAAAACCTGTAATATAGGAATGATTTGGTGAGAGAACACCAGGTGTGTGGTGCTCAGGAGAGGGCCTCACACATACATGTGCTCCAGGAGTGGCCTGAGCCTCTCCCACTGGCCTTTTTGCTGAAGTATCCTGCACGTGCCTTTAGTCTGACCCCATGACTGTGGCTATGTGCGTCTGTGCAGTTTGAAGAAGCTGGTCTTTCTGGGTGCTGTGGCTGAGTGATCTTACACCCATGGGCCTCTCCATCTTCTCCCACCCCCCAAGGCCTGGCTTCCCCCAAGACCACCCCAAAGGCTGAAGCGGGAAAACCAGAGGCAGCCCTGCCCTGCAGCTCCAGGCAAGTTATTTCTGCTCTCTGGGCCTAGTTCCATGAGGGTGCCAGCTTCAGTGACTCCATCTGTGAGACTACCCCAGCCACTGCAGTACAACATGGCCACATCTGCCTTAGCTCCCCTCCAGGGCCCCTTCCTAGCTGGCTTACGTGGAATGTTCCAGCCTCTCTTTGAAGGTTTCCACTGAGAGGAACCGCTTCATATGCTTATCAAATTATACAATGTCTGACTGAGGGTTGGGATTTGTTGGCTGTAATTATGACTCCACTCTGATTTTGGTAATAATAAAAGTGACCGTGAGAATGGCATGTGTCATTCCTAACTTAAGGAAGCTGTAATCATAATTAAGCCTGTATATTACTAATGTTTGCGCAGACTTGCTATGTGTGAAATGTGATGCATGATATATACATGATCACACTGAGCCCTCACACCCTTCTAGGGTCCCCACTTAAAAGATGAAGACACAGGCCGGGTGCAGCAGCTCAAATCCCAGCACTTGGGGAGGTCGAGGTGGGTGGATCACCAGAGGTCAGAATTTTGAGACCAGCCTGGCCAACATGGCAAAACTCCATCTCTACTAAAAAAAATACAAACATTAGGCCAGGCGAGGTGGCTCATGCCTGTAATCCCAGCACTTTGGAAGGCTGAGGCGGGCGGATCACGAGGTCAGGAGATCCAGAGCATCCTGGCCAACATGGTGAAACCCTGTCTGTACAATAAATAAATAAATAAAAATACAAAAATTAGCCAGGCATGGTGGCATGTGCCTGTAGCCCCAGCCACTTGGGAGGCTGAAGTGGGAGAATCCCTTGAACCTGGGAGGTGGAAGTTGCAGTGAGCCGATATCGCACCGCTGAACGCCAGAGCCTGGGTGACAGAGCGAGACTCTGTCTCAAAAAGAAAAAAAATATGGGGACACAGAGGCTCAGACTGGGTGAGGTGCCCACAGTCACATGGCTAGTGGGAGTGCACAGGCTTAAACCCAAAACTCTGCATCCAAATCTTGCGCCCTCTGCCTCTAGCTTATGGGTGATGCTCGAACCCACCGGCCAGTTTCAGCCATGCTAACGAGGCTAGCCCCTCCCCGTGAGGGAGTAAGAAACTCAAGGATTTAACTCTGAGAACAAAGATCCTGATTCCCACGGTGGTGCTGACCCCGCCGGGGCCCCAGCAGCCCGGCAGGGCCTGTGGTTTGCACAGAGGAAAGGAATGTCCCCCTGCATCCCTCCGAGGGGCTCTGCTCTCCGCGGTATCAGGCAGGAACTCGGGTTCTTCCACATCCCTTGTTTTCTCTCAGGTTTCAAAGTGGATGGCCCTAGGTCCAAGTTCCCCTCAACGGTTCTGTCCACGGCTGCCTTGGCCGCCCCACGCCCCGACCCGGAGGATCTTTGGGGCAAGCAGTTCCTGCTGCTGACCGCAAACACATCACAGGTGCTCCTGGCCAGGAGCAGGTGTCAGGTCTACTCCTACTCACCCTTCCCCTTTTGCCCTTCGGGGAAGAGAATCTACGGGGTTGGTGGAGACCCAGAGATGGGACAGAGCCAGACCCCATTTGTGGCTGCTGCTCCGAGGCTGTGCCGGCTGTGGTCACGAGGGGGCGCCCATCCCATGGGGTCCCACGGGCCGCACCCCTCCGCGCTCACCCGCTGGAAGGTGCTGCCGTGCCGGACCTGGGGACAGGTCTTTGCTGGGCTCCTGGATGCCTGGGGTCTGCAGAGGAGGTACGCGAGGAAACCACTGAAAATGCGAGGAGACAGCTGGGACCGGGCTGAGGATGCCTGGTTGATTATTTAGGATTTCAGCACCACCCCTTTGCTCCTGGGTGGCTCGTGGGGACAGGGGTGGTTGGTGCTCAGGGACACTGAACCTGTGTGCGTTGCCCCAGAGCTTTACGACGTTTACTAAATCTTCAAAATAACTCCGGGTAGGTGATGATCTCATCTTATAGATGAGGAAAGGGAGGCCCAGAGAAATCCGGTCAGGGAGTGGTAGAGGGCGCACTCCCCGTGCAGGCTCAGGCTGTTAACTGCCACCTACTGGGGGATTTGGAGTGCTCTGGAAATGAGCTATAAAAACCTCTCAAGTTGAACGGAGCCAACTGGAGAGCCCCAAAGCCAGGCGGGGCTGCAGGTTCCAGCCCCCGGAAGGGACGGATGCAGGCACAGGGCTATGGCAGGTGGGTGCCCACATCCCCTCACCTCTGGGCGGCTCCTCAAAGGTCCAGTCCAGCTGCAGGTCTGCAGGAGCAGAAAGGACCAGGTCATGGGACAGGGCAGAAAGCGAGGGCAGGGTGCCCTGGGAGGCAACCTCAGCCGCTCCAAGCCTCCCTAGAGCAGGGGGCTGAAGGCTGAGTCAGAGCCTGAAGAATGTCCCAAGGGAGGGAAGGAATTAGGAAGGCGGCTCCCTGGAGGGCTTGAAATGCCTCTGGCAGGCTTGGGGCCTAAGTGAGCCAAGCAGGCAGCCACCTTGCCCAAACCCTCCTCCTGCTCCTCCCTCCCCGTTCCCACAGGCACCCTCTCCTGACCTTGGTGGACCTGCTCTCACCACTCAGGCAGGGGAAACTCCACTTGCACCCTCTTCCAAACACTTTCCTTCCCCACTTGCCCAGACCCACTCTGAGCTCCTCATGTGCTGGGAATGTCTGTGGCTTCCTGGGAGGAGCTACTGACCAGCTAACCGACTGCACCCCATGGCGTGCGCGCGCACACACACACACACACACACACACACGCGCACGCTACAACAGCTCCTGCCTAAACGCCAACCATACCAACCCTCACTGGGCCCCCTGCGCCCTCCTCCCACTCCTGGATTTGTCTGCTTTCCTCCACAGCAAACTGTAGCCAGTGACCATAAAGGCCTCACCATCCCCCAATCCCTACTCCCCGTCTCCCTAAACAGGCTTTTGCTCACTGCCGCCTATCCACCCACTCTTATCAAGGACATCAAGGATGTCCTCTTATCAAGGATGCTGGTGACCTCCACATTGCCAAATCTCATGGTCAGTTCTAAGTCTTCATCTTACTCAACCCATCAGCTACATGTGTCACTGCTGGTCTCATCCTCCTTTTGAAATTCCCTTTCCTCCTGGCCCTAGGGAGATCTCTCCATTTCCCTCCCACCTCCCTGGCTCTACCTTCTCAGCTGCCTTTCTGGTGCCACCTCATCTCTCAAACTCCTAAGCATCCTGGTGTGCGGGGGCTCAGTCCTGCGGTCTGTTTGTCTGTCTCCCTAGGTGATCTTGTCTAGTCTTACGGATTGTTGTTTTTCAGAGATGGGGGTCATGCTATGCTGCCCAAGCTGGACTTGAATTCCTGGGCTGTCTGAGCCTCCCAAACAGCTGAGACTACAGGTGTGTGCCACTGCACCCAGCTAGTCTCAGGGCTTTTAAAACACCGTCTCTTCCCCATGATTCACAATCTTGGCTGCACATAAGAATTGCTGGGGAAACTTTAAATCAACATCTCTTTTTTTTTTTTTTTTTTTTTTAATTTTCTGAGACTGAGTCACCCAGGCTAGAGTGCAGTGGCACAATCTCAGCTCACTGCAACCTCTGCCTCCCAGGTTCAAGTCAGCCTCAGCCTCCTGAGCAGCTGGGATTACAGGTTCATGCCACCACGCCCAGCTAATTTTTATATTTTTGGTAGAGACAGGGTTTCACCATGTTGGCCAGGCTGGTCCCCAAATCTCTTTTGAGTGAGTTCCAGGTATTTCCATCTGCAGTTTTAGTCCTTGCCCCATGAACTACAGACTTGGCTATTCGACCACCTACCCCACCTCTTCACTCAGACGGAACGCGTGTCTAAAACTGAATGCCTCTTAAACCTGCTTCTCCTGTAGTCTTTTCTGTCTGACAAATGGCGACTCCAATCTTCAACTTGCTCAGGTTTAAAACCATCCTTGACTCCTCTCTTCCATGGTATACCCAATCCATCGGCAAATTCCAGTGACTGAAACGTATTCAGAATCTCGCCGTGAACCACTAGGCCCACTGCTATCGCCCTGGTTAACACATGGTATCTCTCGCCTGGATTAAAGCAAAGTTGTAACAGCCTTTTCTCCCTAGCCCTTACCAGGCAAGGGAACTGGTCGCCCTGCTTCCATCATTCCTTCCCTGCCCCGCAGCGAGAGGCAACCTTTTCAGCCATGACTTGTCCGAGCATGGCACTCTTCCGCCCAGTGGCTCCTCCTCATTTGCACGGTAAAAGCTGAAATCCTTATAATGGCCCACGTGGCCCCACGTGCCCTGACGCCACCATGTCTCTCCCTCTGTCTCCCACTACAGGCTCCTCACTGCAGGCCATGGTCTCCTTGCTTCTACCTCTGGGTCTTCGGAGCTCCCTTTTCTGGAATGCTTCCCCCAGCTCTGCCAGGTCTCCCCTCCTTCACTGCCTCCACGCTCTGATCAAGTGCCACTTACAAGTGGCTGCCCCGCCCATCCTGGGTGAAGTAGCGGCCTCCCTGCATGGGGCGCTGCCCTAGTCTGGCTTTATTTTTTCCCTAGCCCTTTCCACCGTCTGCCATGTCAAAGGTGTGTCTGTTTATTGTGCGACTTCCTTTGATCTTTGGCACCTAGAATAGTGCTCTGCATGTGGTACATGCTCAATAGAAGGTCAAGGACTCGCTGAATGGATGAGTGACCTCGCAGCCAGCTCCCAGGCACACCCAGGGGTGGCTGCAGTTTGAGTTGTGGAAGAAAGCCATGCTTCCAGTAAGGGAATGACCACAAGCAGTACCATTCCAGCCTGGCGGGGAAATCAGAGAGGGATTTCAGGAAAGGAATGGCTTCTCAGTCCCCTCAGAGGACACTGGGGAACAGTGGCTGGTCAGTGTCCTTCTGAGGATGCTCTATAGACTGCTGCTGGCCCTGAGGACAGGGAGGGGACAGCCTATTTTCAGGACTACTCATTAGAGCCTGGGAGGAGGTGGAGAAGAACCCCTTGAGCTGCCAAGTCCCCTGTCCCTGTCTCTCCAAGTCCCACAGGCCAGAATCCACTTTGGCAGGGAGAGGGCCCTGGAAGGGTATCTCACCTGACATTTTCCGGTGAATCTGCTGGAACATTCTCCGGTACCAGTCTCTGGGGCTGTCAACGCTCTGGGATCAGAAAATGCAAAGTCAGTCCTCCTTACTTATTCACCCTCCCCATATCAAGCCACAAAAGCTTTTCCTCAGTGAGACCTTTCTCTGGCCATCCCTGAAGCCCCCGTAGCAGGGCTGGGGAAGGTTTCTCTTATGATCTCTTTCATAACAATGGCTTCATGTAATACGTCTTATATAAGTAGGATATATGACAGGATCTCCACCGAAGTGTACACAATAACGGTGTTGTGAGATTTGGGGCAATTTACATTTTTTCTCTTTGTTTTTCTTCATGTCCAATGTTTCTACAAAGAACATTTTTCTTTTGAGGGGAGACAGGCTCTTGCTGTGTCACCCAGGCTAGAGTGCAGTAGAATAATCATAGCTCACTGCAGCCTCCAATTCCTGGGCGCAAGCAATCCTCCTGTCTCAGCCTCCTGAGTAGCTGGAACTACCAGCATACACCACCATGCCTAGCTAATTTTATTTTATTTTTCCTAGAAACAGGGTCTCACTATGTTGCCCAGGCTGGTCTGGAACTCTTGGTTTCTTTTCTTTTGTTTTTGTTTTTGTTTTGTTTTTGAGATGGAATCTCCCTGTGTTGCCCAGGCTGAAGTGCAGTGGCACGACTTCAGCTCACTGCAACCTCCACCTCCTGGGTTCAAGCGATTCTCCTGCCTCAGCCTCCTGAGCAGCTAGAACTACAGGTGCGTGCCACCATGCCTGGCTAATTTTTTAATATTTTTAGTAGAGACGGGGTTTCTCCATGTTTGCCAGGATGGTCTCGATCTCCTGACCTCATGCTCCACCCGCCTCAGCCTCCCTAAGTGCTGGGATGGCAGGAGTGAGCCACTGCACCTGAGCCAACAATGACAGTAATCATGGAAGAGTGAGCTGCATGTTTCTCGTCACCTGCCTCATCCAAGCCTCAAAACAGCCCTGGGAGGCACGAAGGGGATGTCACCAGCTCCAGTTTCCATATGAGGAAATGGTGCTGGTTCAAAACACAAAGGTGGATGGAAAAGGGCAGAGTATCCCCAGTCCTAAGTGGACTCCTGGATCCTTCCATGCCTGCCACAGTGAGAGACCTTCTCACACGAGACTCACTCACTCATTCGGCCAGTCATTCATTCATTCAATGACCATTTCATGAGTGCAGTGACAGGCCCTGGGGGTATGAAACTAAGAGAGGGTCCCCCCAGGCTCAGCCCTTACAGCAGGGGTTCTCTACCTTTGAGACCCTGATGGGAGTTCCAGATCTGTACCCTGCACAAAATAGTTGTGCAACTCAGACACACGAGGGTGTCCGTAGCTTTATGAGGTCCACGGCCCCCTGAAGCCCACCATGGCTGACCCCCTGCCTGGTCTGCGATGGTTTGGGTGTGGCCTTATTGCCCCATTCCCACTCTCATGCACAAAAGTGGAGATCCCTGCAGATCTCCGGGCCCCATGTCTCCGTGGCCCCCAGCCCCGGACTCACGGATCGGGGGGCAATGGGCATGCCGCTCTCATCCACGGGCCCGATTCCCTCGTACTTGACCCAGCGCTTGTCCCGGCGCTTGCTGTCCTTGGTCCACGTGGCTGACCAGTTCTGGGCTTGCTGGCGGGCAGGGGTCTTTGTGCTTCCAGAGGGCTTGGTCCCAGGGCCTGGCCAGGTCTGATACCACGCAGGGTCTGTGGAGTACGTGCAGGAAGGCATTAGTGAAAGGCAGGGGTCCCCACCCGAACCTGTGTGTCCCGTAGCTCCTCAGACCATGGATCTCTGCGGGTTCAAAGTTTCAACATCACCTTGTTTGTTTGAGTGGATGACTCAGAGCACCACGGGCCTCTGTTTGTTTAAGTGAATTTAGATGGATTTGGTTTTGAGAGTGCTGTGCTGGCCCTACCCCCATTCTTCTTTCCTGGGACTATCCTCAGCGCTTTCAGAATAAGGTCTGGAAATCATTACTTGCAGAGAATGGAGGGGACATCCCAGCAGAGGTGTGGCAGAAAAGAAGATGAGCTGGATGGGGGGACAGACCTGAATTCAGACCCCAGCTCTGCCACGTAATGGCTGCAACGACCTGGGGCACATAAGTCACCCTCTCAGTGCCTCAGTTTCCCCTTCTGTAAAACAAGGGCCACCGTGACAAGGATTCAGTGACATCTAGTGTGTGTGACCGTACCCAGCACAGTGCCTGACACACAGTTGAGAGGCTCTCAGTGAAGGTCAGAAGCCCATTCCACAGACATGGTTATGACTGAGTCCTTAACTTCTCCAGAACTGTTAGTCCCTGAGTAGCTACGGCACCAGCATGAGGGCTGTGAGGCCAGATGGACAAGGGTGTGAGTTGCGCTCAGCCTCTGTGGCTGAACATCTCTGCAGATGGGATTCTTCCCTGGGAAGCTGTGAATCATCATCACCCCTACTTTCTCAGGCTATCAAGGGGTTAAATAAGGAGAGCCTTGTAAAGTGTTTTTACAGTGTCCAGCATGCTCTGGGTGTTCCATAATTATTGTGTGTGGGGTGTGTGTGTGTGTGTGTGTGTGTGTGTGTGTGTGTTTTCTGAGACAGAGTTTCACTTTTGGCACCCAGGCTGCAGTGCAGTGGCTCGATCTCGGCTCACTGCAACCTCCACCTCCCGGGTTCAAGTGATTCTCCTACCTCAGCCTCCTGGGATTACAGGCACCTGCCACTATGCCCGGCTAATTTTTTGTATTTTTCTAGTAAAGACAGGGTTTCATTATGTTGGCCAGGATGGTCTCAAACTCCTGACCTTGTGATCCTCCTGCCTCGGCCTCCCAAAGTGCTGGGATTACAGGCATGAGCCACTGAGCCTGGCAACTAATTTTTGTATTTTTAGTAGAGACGGGGTTTTGTCATGTTGGCCAGGCTGGTCTCAAACTCCTGGTGATACACTCACCTTGGCCATCCAGTGTGTGTGTGTTTTAAGTGACAGCGTCTTGCTGTGTCACCCAGGCTGATAGAGACAGGGTCTTGCTATGTTGCCCAGGCTAGATGATTATTTGTTAAATAAATAAACTCCTTTACCCAGCACCTGCCTCAGGGGAAGGCTCAATAAAGGATGTCACTTTAGGAGAAATGTATTCAGGGCTGGCCTGTACCCAGGAGTTCCCAGGACCTCTAGACCGGGCCCTAGAGCTGCCTCCCCAGCTTCCTGCTGGGCAGCCTGTTGGGCTAAATGAGACTGTCTCCAACCCTTCTCAAGCCAACAGATGCTCACATCACCTCCACCCTTCCATCCCCAGTCCCTGCAGGAGGTCCCCAGGCACAGGGCTCCTGTACACTTCCTTTCCCTGGCACCAGGCTGGAGGGCAGGGGAGAGGATGCGTCAGCTTGCTCTCCCCAGGTGGATGTCTTCTGCAGTGTCAGCAAGCTCCACAGGGAGGGGCTTGTAGTGAGCCCAGATACATCTGAGGAACCTCCTCATGGCCCTGAGACCCTCACCTCCCAGTGCTGCCCCTCGTGCTTGACATAGGGCAGTGCCAGATGGCAGGGCCCAGGGAACTCTGACCCTCCGCCCCCTGCATGAGGCTCCTGAGCAGACCTACCTGGGTGCTGGGAAGCATCTTGTCCTGGCATGTAGCAGCCATTGCACACAGTCCTGGGCGCGGGGTCATGGAACTGGAAATTAAGGGTGTTGGAGCCACCATTCCGGATCACGGGCACCTGCGGTGAGGGGCCAGGAGCAGCAGCTCAGGGCCCAGCAGGGCGGGAGGGAGGGATGGCTACTAGGCACAGCCCACACCCCTTGGTGATGGTCCCAGGCCTGCCTGATGTTTTCGTGGGAAACCAGCAACCCCACCCCAGAGCTATCCTCAGCCCACCCTCCATCCCTTTCATCCTCCTGACCCCACCTGACCTGCTAGCCTCCCGACCAACTGGGCCCCCAGGGCACCCTCTTCCCTACTGTCTCACTCACCCGTGTCCCCCGGGAGGATGACCCTACATGGGACTGGAGGTGGCCAGGGATGAAGTCGTCCAAGCTGAGCCCAGTGGGAAGGCTTCGGGGTGGGCCCTGCATGCTTGGGTCAAGGTCAGAGGACCCCGGGCCAGCCAGCTGCTCCTCTGCGTGTCCTCTGAGAAGGAGGAAGGAAGGGAAAGCCCTGCTAGGCTGGGCTGCCCTTGCCCTCTTGGCTCAACCCTGGGGTAGGGGAGGAGGGGCCAGCTGTGGGAGGGGGTCAGGACCAGCTGGGTGCAAGCTCAAGGACCCAGGAAACAGGCCACACCAGGCACCCGCCTGCAGGCTGCCCGTGCCTGCCTGCTCCCAGAGGCACAATGGGCCACTTGTTAGGCCCAGGGCAGGAGCTCCGGGTGGGAGTGGGGGTGGGGGAGCTTGGGTGAGGAGGAGGGAGGGGAGGGGCGGCTGGCCAGGAGCCTGTGGGGCTCTCCCTGCTTAGTGCAGTCAGCTTCCCTACTCCCCCCAGAGGAAAGGCACAGGGAAACTGGGGCAGCTGGCAGAGAGGGGGCCTGGGCACACAGGACTTTGTTTCAGTTCCCTCTGTCTCCCCCAGGCCCTGTGTGGGCATCTCTTGCCCGCGGGCACAAGGGATTACTCAGGCCACCCGCCCACTGCCCTCCAGGAAGTGGCCAGCAGGGCCCTCAGCCCGATAAGGCCAAGGGGAGTGGCAGGGGCATTTCCAGCCAGCAAGAGCCACTCTTGTGAGCTCACAGGGAGCACGGGGCCCTTCCTTGGCCTCCTTCACAGAATGAGGACTCGGGAGGGCTCCAGGTGGGTGGAGGCAAAGCTGAACCTGCTCATGCCCACAGAGGGGTGGTGCTGAGTGCCCTGGGTGTTCTGCATGAGGGCATGTGTGTATGCACACACACACACACACACACACACACACACACACACAGGCTCCACTTTCCCCTGTCCCACCAGGCTGTTTTGTGAATGGAGGGTCTCTCCTGGCAACACCACACCTGCCCACAGCCAGATTCTTCTGCCCCATGCCAAGACTGGGGAAGGGGAAGGGAGCCCCAGGCACCCAGGGAATAGAGGGGAAGAGGGGAGCCCAGAGGGGTGGGTGCAAGAGGACAAAAAGGGGCTCCCAGTTTGGAGTGTCCGAGGGGGCTTTTTGACCCAGAGCACTGCGCTATGGCATCCATCTCTCCGCACCTCAGCTGCTGGACTGGACCAGAAACAGCCAGGCTCTGCCACCTCCCAGGACTGGATTGAATCACATTTGCCTGTGCCTGTGGGGTCCTTGGGGGCTCTCAGGGAGGGCTGCAAATGCATCAGGAGGAGCTGTCTCTCTCTCTCTGTGTGTGTGTGTGTGTGTGTGTGTGTGTGTGTGTGTGTGTGTGTTGGAATCTGGGTGTAGAACTGTAAATATGACTTCTGGAGGGGCCACCGGGGAGACCACATGAGCTGCAAGGGGGTTGTGGATACAGAGGGGTGTCAGCTGAACAGTGGTGGGGGTGCAGTCATATGAGCAGTGTAAGAGTTGGGGGTCCCAGAGGGGATGATGGTAGAATAAGGCTGGGATGTCTCATCCCCTGGACCCAGTTCCTGCCCAGGGCTGGCGAGGGTGCAGCCAAGGCTGGGGGCAGCTCCCTGTCTCTGGTCTGCGTTTGTGGGGACTCCTGACATTTGAGCTGCTGTGACACAGCTCTTCTGTGCCCATGACGGATTGCGGGGAGGGGAGAGTGCAGCGCTGAGGCTGGAGAAGCAGCTCCCCAGCTGGGTCCAATTAGGACTCCCACCAAAGCAAAACATGCAGACCTACCCCAGTCCCAGAGCCCCACCTCCCCTTTTGGGGGAAGTTGAGGCAGGGTGGGGTGGAAGTTCCGCAGGCCTGGAGCAGGCTGGCTCCTCTCAGCGTCCCTCCCTGCCCAGCTGATTGCTTCAGGCCAAGTTGCTGCTCAGCAGCCAGGGTCTGGGCCATCAGCTGACAGCGCCTTCCTTCCCTGGCCTCCCCGCCCACCTCGTGCTCAGTGAGAACTGCCCATGTGGAGGATGGGCAGGGCAGGAGGTCCCCCCACAACCCGTATTCAGGGGTTGCTGACCCTTGGTGCCCCCATCTGCACCTCCTCAACCCTGCTCCCTGTGAAACGCCCCCAGGAACCTCCAGGGAAGGGTGGTCTGAGTTCTCTTGGCAGCCTGGTCAGGAGACTTAGGGAGGACTTCCAAGGAAGAGGGGAGCATCTGGTGACTGCTCCCCCATCCAGCAGAGAGCGGAGGGGCCCTCCCAGCTTTCAGGCCGCTCCTCCAGGCAGGCAGCCAGCCCCAGGAGCAGGAGAGAGGCAGCGGCTCTGCTGGGGTGGGCACTGGCCTTCCTGCTCTGAGCACTGCTCTGGCCGTAAGGGCCTGGCCCTAAGCGCTTTCCCAGGTATTTCTCAGCGACAAGGCCACGTGGACTAGGGCAACTTTTCTTGAATTTCACTTTTTCTGGAAAGAGGACTGGGTCGGTGGTACTTCCCACCTCTTCCCAGAGTTTGGGACATGGACCCCAGGGAGGGGCTCAGTGCCGTCTCCCGGGGTTGGGCGCAGGTCCCTCCCGCCGGCCTCGCCTCCTCCCTGCCCCTCCTTTCCGGGACCTACCTTCCCCGGAGAGCAGGTGGCCGGGCCCGACGTCGCCTGGGAGCGCAGGAGCATCCCTGCCCCGCTGCTGCCTGGCGCGGGCGCTCGAGGAGGAAGGGCAGGGAGACGCGCGGGCCGTCGCGGCCCTCGTGACCGGGTCAGCACTGGCCGGGCCAGGCCGGGCGCCCGAGGAGGAAGAGGGAGGCCGAAGAGGAGCGCGCGCGGGAGGCAGGATCAGGAGAGTAGCGCGGCAGGGCGGGCGGAGTTTGGGTCTCGGATGTGGACTGCGAGCAGGGGCTGGGCTGGAGAGGAGGGGCCGTGAGAGTGCCCTCTGGCCGTCGGGGCGCGGGGACACTGGTGGCCCCCTGCCGAGGGGGCCGGGCCGGCGGGGAGGCGGTGCCGGGAGGGGCCACCGAGGGTCCCCAGGGAGCCCGCTTTGGTTTCCCAGCTGCCATCCCGGCCCGCACCGCGGTGCTGGCGTCGGGGAGGGGTCGGGCGGGCCGACGCGGGCCACTCAGAGTTTCCAGCGATATTTCCAGAGTGTGGGAAGCGAGCGGCCGCGCTGCGGAGTCAGGACAGAGGGCAGGAGTGGGGAACCGCGGGAGGCGGGAGAGGCGGACAGACCCGGAGCTAGATGAGGGCGCCCCGCGGGCAGAGCGGCCGAGCAGACCAGGGAAGGCCCCGCCGCCCCTCGGCGCTGGGACTATGTGCCTGCGGCGGCGCGCGACTGGACGTGTGCAAACAAACACGCGCGCGTGCACTGCAAACGTGCCGACGCTCACACACGTGCAAGCACCGGGAGGAAATTGGACCAAGGGAGCGGCCCCTCTGGGCGTGCCGCGCACCTAAAGAGGATAAGGGCGTGGTCCCTTTGGCGGGGATGGGATTAGGAGGGTCTTGGTGTTCCCTGACACTGTGTTTGTTTTGATCTGCCTGCTTTTCCGCTGTTCTCGCTGTTCTGAGCTGGGTCCCCAGAGCCCCGGCCCTCTGGCTCCCCATCCACTGTGGCCATTCCCTCTTCCCCTCTCTGCACCAAGCCTCTGTGTGCCACAGGGCCTGCTTCAGAAAGCGAGGATGCTTAAGGAACACTGATGGATAGTGGGAAACACTTGAGATCCTTTCTGGTGCTTGGGTTGACTCACGGGTCCCCAAGCCTCAAACCAATCAACCAACCAATAGTTATGATCAACTTTAGATACCAGCTGGGAGTGATCAATGCGAAACGATGAAAACTAATGTCATCTCTGCATTCCTACTGGGTGTCAGGCTGGTGCCAGAGGCCACCATGAGCTTTGGAGTGTTTTCCAAGCTCTCTGTTCAACTCAAAGGTTGGAAGGAAGGAGAGTGGAGAAAAGACGAAGCGAGTTTCAGTCCCCACCGACATTACTGCTTTAGTCTTATCTTCTCTCTCCAAGTAAAGAGGCTTGCCCCAGTTGCCTTGAATCAACAGCACATGTGAAAGCTGGAGGAGATGTTTGGGCTGAGAAGCTTCAGATGGGCCTGCTGGCCTCCAGCGCCTGCGCGGCTGCTGTGTGGACACAGCCCCATCAGCAGCAGTGGGACCACTGCGAGCACATCACAGGGAAGCAGGTCCAAGGCTTCCCAGGAAGATTTTTTACATGATTCCAGGGGTTCCGAGTCTGCCAACAGTGGGACATGTGTGTAAAGGCAACCATTGCAATGAGCGGGAGCTGAACAAGATGACCTTCAAGACTCCTTCCAAGAACCTCTGACTCTTCAGGAAATCGAAAGAGACGGGTATGCGGGGCACTGCTGTGGGGGACGGCCAAGCAGTGGAGGAACCTGGGACACTTCTTGAGGGCAGGCAGCGGTGCACTGCCCCTCCCCTGAAGCTCAGATACCTCCTTGCCCACCCCAGGTAGCCTCTTCCCTCCCTCAGGGATAAAATAGGTGCCCATTTCCTTAGACACGCATTTTTTCCCACCTGTCAGGGTCCTTGGGACTAAGAAGGACCACATCACTTTCACTTTCTTCCTTCTTATCCCAAGATGGTGAAGCTGAAGTTCTTCCGACTCCAGGAATCCTGGCCATACCCTCTCACCAGCAGCAAGCTTCTCTTATTCTCTAGGGCTCTGACCTGGACTCCAAGATAAATATTTAGTGTAGAGGGTGCAGCTGAGCTGACAAAGGTCCCCACTTCCTGTTTCTCACAAAGGGAGGTGGCAGACATGGGCAAGGAGCTGGGGACTGGCTACCAGTTTCATCCCTATGGGAATCGGGAGTTTAGTAAACAGCTTTGTAGGAGGAGGCGGGGCAGGTCCCACGGGAGACCTGAGCTTTCTTCCGGAGCCACTTTGACTTCTGCCTGTCTACTTAGGCCTGGACCCTGCTGGGCTTATCACCTCTCTCAGGTCAGAATCCACCATGTTCTGTGGTTCCCATCTGGCCTCACAGCTGAGAGGATGGGAGACAGACAGTGGGACCACAGGGCAGGGAAAACAAGAAAATTTGACTCCTTCCTTTCTGCCCTTACTTAAAGAGAATTCCTTAGCAAGGTTTAGAGCAGGCGTCCCCAAACTTTTTACACAGGGGGCCAGTTCACTGTCCCTCAGACCGTTGGAGGGCTGCCACATACTGCTCCTCTCACTGACCACCAATAAAAGAGGTGCCCCTTCCTGAAGTGCGACGGGGGGGGGGGGGGGGGGGGGGGGGGGCGGATAAATGGCCTCAGGGGGCCGCATGCGGCCCACGGGCCATAGTTTGGGGACGCCTGGTAGAGATTCCGCCAGGAACCAGGTGTCTGATTTCCCAACGCCTGCCTCTAGCATGAGCTGTCCTTGCTGCCTCCACAGCTGGCACAGTTAGGGAGAGGCTGAGGCTGGGAAGGTTGTCCTAGATAAGGCAGCTGGCCGGCTGGTTGTCAACAACAGATTCTTTTCCTTTCCAAATCCCAGTGCACTCTCCCCTTTGCACGCATGACACCTCTAAGAGGGATTTCCCTCCCTGCGAGCTTCCCCACCTCTGGCACTGCCCTTTGTTGGGGGCTGCCTCTGCCTTCTCAGAACCACCTGAGCCACAGTCAATACAGTTACGTAACTGCCCCGTTTTCCCAGCTACCTGATCCCAGGCACCAGTATCCCCGGCTCGAGCCCTTGAAGCTGTACCTTTTGTTCTTTGGGTAGCCCCCAACATCACCATCAGCAGGAGTCTGTCCACACCCCTCCCAGGGGAGAGGATAAGCCATGGGACTACCAGTAAATGTGACTCTTCACAGGAGGGGAAGAAGGCAGTGAAATGCGGGTTGCTCTGAAAAGCAACCTGTACCACCAAGAGGAAGGATGAGGGGAAAGAGCACTGAAGAGAAGGTGGGGTGAGCGGGGTGGGCAGAGCACCCAGTTTTAGTTCTCAAGTGGGGAAAAGGGAAGCCAGGGGTCCCAGAAGACATGCACCCCGACTCAGTTCTTGAGGAGCGCCTTGCTCTGGTGCCATTGGAATGAGTCATCCTCTGAGATGTATCCTGGGCAGCTAGCCAGCCCTCGCCCTGTGCCTCAGTACCCCATGGAGATACAGGGCGTCTGCTCTTCCTTTCTTTTCCACCCCAGGATGAACTTCAGGTGCTTTGAGTAGATTTTGGGGGGTAGGGTTTTGCTCTCAGAAGAGTGTTTTCTTCCTTCCTTTGAGCTGAGCAGGCAGAACAGAAGGGGTTAGCACAGAAAGCACTGCTGTTTCCAGCAGTTTGGACTTCTCTAGAAGGCCACAGTGACACAATGGTGAGGAATTGAAACCAAGTCACATGAACACACCAGCAAGAATCTGGACTATGTTTCATCCCCTGGGCTCCATCCCTTTCTCCTGGGTCCTCTCTTGATTTTCGCTCCTGCAAATGTTGCCAGCCAAGTTCTACTGATGGCCTTTTCTGTGCCAACCACTTATGGGAACAGGGATAGGCAGAAGAGGAGAGTGCAAATGACCCATTTTGGGATTTCAAAGGCCCTCCTATGTTGACAAGGGCATGACCTGGCTCATCTGGAATTCAAGATTTCTGGTAGAGTCACTGTAGAGTGAAGGATCTGAGTGAAAAAACTCCCAGTACAGGTCAAATATGATGGGTGTTGGGGCCTGGCAGCCAGGATGGGTGCACGGAACCCCATGGGAATAGAGAATGAGACTCTCAGGCCTGCCTGGCACAGACCTTTCCATAGCACATGCATGATGTAATGGGCACATCTATTCTGGGTTCTCAGGGCCAGTCTCCCAAAGGCTGCAGGAGAACTCAGCCATTTGCCCAATTGATCCCGCCTGTCCTCAAGGAAGTGTTGACACTGACATCACATCCACGGCTGTTCTGCCTCTTTTCATGGATGATCAAACAAGCACAGTGCACAGATGGGGTGTCTCTGAGAAGAACTGAGCTGGGCAAACCTCTCTTAGTTCTCGGGAAAGATGAAACAGGCAGTGGCTGTCAGCTCTAGAAAGCACATTTTATAACGGAAGGATAAATAAGTGATGACCTCAGAGGGAAAACCAAGCCAAGTCAACTCAGTCACAAAGGAGGGCACAGACCCAGGAGTTGGAAAATTAGGTCTGCATCAGCCTTCTTTCCCAGCTCAGGTAGACAGCGATGGTTAGGATAAGAGGGCTGATCTGTTGGCCCAGTGGATACCGTGAGGTAGGGCTCTGGCTTCCAAACAAAGAATAACTTTGTCTTCCCACCTCCTTGAATTCTATGATGAACCGTCTCCTTAACAGCATCAGCATTAAAAAGACTGCTTCATTTACCATTATTCATCCACTGCATCAAAATTAGATTTTCTTCTAAAGCCTGAAAGTTGTGACAAAAAAAAAAAAAAAAAAAAAAAAAAAAAGCAAGACCTTCCAATTACATGCAGCAGGCAACAAACTGGGGACCAGATCTAGACGGAGTGACAGGTTAATATGAGTTTGCATTCAAGGCCTTCATTTCCAGGTTATTAAAAAGCTTTCCACAACTCCAGAAATAAGAGGAAATATTACCTAATTTTACCGAAGGTTTAGCTAAGGTGTAGGGACATTGCTACATCAAGATGCCATTGGGATAACAAAGAACCCAATGCATACTCAGCTTACTGGAAATTAAAAACCTGGGCCTTTTCCTGGCCCGTAAACTGCACGGTGACCCTTAGTGTGGCTGTATTTAGTGTAAAGGTCACCTCACTTGGGCCTGGCAGTGCTGGATTCAGCCTTTCTACCTCTACTGCCGTAACCTGCAGAGTCCCCTCACTGACAGTTTCCTCTACAGGTCCCAATCCCCCAATTGCCCAGGGGAGCTTATTTTTCCTTGTGAACCCACAGCACCTCATGATATTTCTACTTTTTTTTTTTTTCTTTTTCTTTTTTTGAGACGGAGTCTCACTCTTGTTGCCCAAGCTGTAATGCAATGGTGTGATCTTGGCTCACGGTAACCTCCGCCTCCCGGGTTCAAGCGATCCTCCTGCCTCAGCCTCCAGAGTAGCTGGGATTACAGGCATGTGCCACCACACCCAGCTAATTTTGTATTTTTAGTAGAGACAGGGTTTCTCCATGTTGGCATGGCTGGTCTCGAACTCCCAACCTCAGGTGATCTGCCTGCCTGGCCTCCCAAAGTGCTGGGATTACAGGCATGAGCCACCATACCTAGCCGATATTTCTACTTTTCAGAGGAATGAAAAGGCTAGTCTGACACTTCCGTTCTTGGCAGCCCAGCTCCACATTCAAAT